TTTATTATTATCTTTTGAAATTTAAAAAAATAATATTTAATTCATCTCACTTTAAAAAATTATATAATTTGGTAAAGAAACATTTTATAGTAATCTGAATAAGCAAGAAAAAAATTATTCAAAAATTTAAAAGTTTATGGATAATTAAATAGTTTTCAAAATTTTTAAAAATAGCAAAGACTAAAACTGCAATGCATAAAAATTTTGTAAGGACCAAAATATGTCCTTTTTTGTATAGAGGCTAAAAATGAAGTGTGAAATATTTATAAGGAGCAAAAAGATATTAAAATATTATTGAGTGTCTACCATAGCAGATTTTGTATAATACTTATGAGTATGAATTTTTTTTAGTGTAATGGATATGAGGTCGTTCAAATTATTTTTTTTAAATAATTTTTTAATGTTTTTTTTTAATTATAAAAAATGTTTTAATACAAAAATTTAATTGGTTTGAATTGCTAGAAGATGTAAGTCAATATTTTAGTAGGCAAAATGAATTTGACACATGTTCTATTTGACATAGTTGAATACAACATGTGTCTTGAAGTATGTAAGCAAGCATTTGATAGAGTTGAATAATACAGTTTGTAAAGTGTGTTCTGTTACCTATATATACATGTAAAGTTGTAAATTATTGCACCAATTTCACTTCAATAAAATCTTTTTTTCACAATATCGTTTCTCTCTTCTTCTTTTCCATTCTTCTTAAAAATCTTAATTGTTTCAACAAATTGATATCAACGAGTCCAGTGCGATTCACAAAGAATCTGTAATGGCAAACAATAACAAATATCACTTAATCTCCAGTAAATCTACCGGTGTTCAAAGGCGAGAACTACAATAGATGGTTGCGCAAATGAAAGTCATCTTCAGATTTCAAGATGTGGTTGAAATCATGAGGGGTGAAGTATCTGCATTGGAAGCGAATGTAAATGATGTTCAGAAGGTTGTGCACAAGGAACTGAGGTAGAAAGATGCAAAAGCTCTTTTCTTGATTCATAAATGTATATATCCTAACGTGTTCAAGAAGGTCATTAAAGAATAAACGTCCAAATGAGTGTGGGACAAGTTAAATAATTTGTACGATGGAGATGAAAAATTGAAGAGAGTAAAGTTGCAGATGTTGAGCAAGTAATTTAAGATAACACAGATGAAAGAAGATGAATTGGTTGTTAATTTCTTCTCAAGATTAGTGTTACTCACAGATCAGATGAAGGCGTGTGGTGAACTTATCAATAATTTGCAGAAGATTGAGAAAGTGTTAAGATCTCGGACTACAAATTTTGATTACATTAAATTGTCAATTGAAAAGTCCAAAAACCTAGATGAGATGAAGTTAGAAGAACTTGAAGCTTCATTAGAGACTCATGAGATGAGGTTGAAGCAGAGAAACTCAAAAATGGATAAGGTGGCAAAACAGTTATTGCAAGCAAGATTCATCAAAAGTTTGGAAAATAAAAGGCAAGGAAAGAAAGAATCCTACAAATGATGAAAAGTTAAGTAAGAATTCAAAAATCACTCTAATACAATCAAGAAAGTCACGGGCAATAAGTATTTGAGGAAGAAAGTTGACATAAAGGAGGTGTGGTGTTATAATTATTAAGGATTCGATCAATATGCTCGAGATTATCAAAGAAAAGAGTCAATTGTGGAAGATAATGACACGGTTCAATATACATATGTTGGAGGAAGTGACTCTAATGATATGTTACTCATGGAAAATATGAAGTCGGATAATGAATAGACCAATATATGTGTAAGATTCATTAAGGAGAAGCGACGTAACAAGTCACCTGCACCAGCTTCCTAACAGCCCATTTATTGGAATGACTGTTTGTCATTTCATGAGGGTGCCCTTTCCCCATATCACCTGCATTTTGTGAAAATATGAAAGTGATGTGTCTCAATTCATAATAGTATAAGGGAATGAGTCAAATAAAGGTATTTACGTTCTCCAAAGAAAAAGGAGAAATAGTTACCATGTTTCCACACTCCTTAGGCCCACAAGGTTTTTATAAATACCTCCGCCTTTAGGTTTAAGAGGAAAACTAATCCATTACGCAAAACTCCACATACATGACTTCTCAATATCCCTGTGTGAGCTTGCGCTAACACTACAATAATCCTAAAACATTTGACAACCCTACAAGCAACTGGTTGTCATGTATTATACTTTTAGCAAGTAGAATTGACGTTTATCGTGGGGCCCCGATCAAACTGGCTTGACCCACTACTACAACATTCATCTAGATTTCTATCCTCACATTCAACTCTTTTGTCCATCATGATAAACAAGAATGTAGTAACTTCGGTCACCACTGAGTTCGACGGCGGGGAGAATACCATGGCAGGGATGCAAGTTGTCATTGACAATTTATGTCACCATAACAAACCTTGGAAGATAACGCCCTCCACATCCAACAATGCCAACAGAAGTTTGGCCCTCTGAAAGACACTGAAATCCCATACCCCCAGCCGGTCAGATGAGATATGGAAGGCTTCAACGTTAAAAAATTTCAAGTTGCCTTCTTTGGCTAAGTTTGTTGGGCGCAATAACCCATGTGAACATGTCGCCTCCATCAACATATAAATGGTGATTGTCGGAGCTTCTCATTCCTTGAAATGCAAACTCCTCTTTGACGCCTTCGGAGATGCATCCTTAAGGTGGTACATGGGCCTGCCTCGACTCTCAATTACCAACTACCAGAATTTGGTGAAGAAAATGGCACATCAATTTGCAACAAGTATGCTCAGAAAGATGGTCGTCATTAGCCTTTTTAATATTCATCGAGGCCCTTTCGAACCTATGAAGGAGTATCTTGCCCGCTACAACGAGGCCACGATCAAGGTCATCCACCCCAACTAGGAATTGTTCGTAATAGCATTTTAAAACGGACTGAGAGCGGTGCATTTTAATGAACCCCTTTCCTAGATGCTCGCAACTTCCTTGGTTAAGGTAGTAACACATGCATAATGATGCATAAAGGGCAAGGAATGTAATGCTAAAGAAGGCCATAGATGTCAAAAAGTGTACTGCTAGTAACCCTTACCTTTCACACTAGTCATGTAAAATCACTACACCTTGCCCATCAAAGACAAAGTGGCATTCAAGAAAAGTAGAAAACCTATAGAGAGTTTCACGCCTTTGAACATTCACTGTGAGCGGATATGGCATGAAGTCCCCCCCCCCCAAATACACGACATTCCATAACCACCAGCGCCCATGTTAGATATCATTGGCCCTTAACCTAGCAGATGGTGCAAGTTCCACAAGGTCAAGGGGCATCACACTGAAGATTATTATCAAATCAAGAACGAGATAGAACGCGTGATCCAAAAAAGTCATTTGAAGAAGTATGTGAAGGGTGACGCCGCCCAGGCGCCAGGTCAGGGGAGATATGCGAAAATCCAAAACCCAAGAAGGAAAAAGAACTAAGTAAGAGGGTGAGGACATAGTCATATGCCACACCATTAATACCCTTACAAGAGGATTCACCGAGGGTGGGGAGACTAGATATGCGCGCAGAAGATATGCTCGCAGAATCATAACCATCGAAAGTTTGCTCACTAGCTCATTAGTGATAAAATGATATGTTATATATTATATTAAAATTATAAAATTTCTTTTATAAATTTGCATAAATATTTTAAAACTAATTTCAAGTCTTCTTTAAATTCCACATATAAATAAAAACACTAAAAAAATTAAAATTAATGAAATAAATTTAAATGATTTTTATAAAAACTTATTAAAATTTATAAATTATTAATTCCACTTTTAAATATATTATGAACAAATTTATAATTCTAATTATATTTGTTAGATATACTATATCAAGATATGATATATATTTTTATGTAAATGACAATTATTATTGTAAGAAAGTTATATTTAATTAAAAAATTAATGTATGTTTTAAAAGATTTAATAATAATTTCATTTTTAAATGTTTTAATTTCGACAAACTAACTATTAATTATTAAAATTTTTAATTTAATGTCAACTTATTTTCTATTTATTTTTTATATATTTTTATTCTATCCCACTCTTTTCTTTTTTTATTCTATCCTACTAATTTTTGTTTTTTTATTCCATCCCCCTAATTTTTAATCCAGCTTAAATTCAATATAAAAATTACAACTACAAAAAGATACGAGAAGTTTCATAATTAATTGATCATAATCCCACCAAACCCTGGATCGAGACGTAATATCATCTTTTATATTGTACATCAATAAAAGAACAAGATTTGAGAAGTCTTTGAGATACTTTAATAGTGTTAATTCAATTTTACATTAAAATTGAATGTAAAATTAAATTAACACTAGAATACTAGTATGATTTAAAAGAGAAAAAATAAAATGCACTGACAATGTTAAATATTTTACACTGCAACCAATCACAACCATATATTAAAATAAAACATATTTTTATTTTAAAAATGCTGATATTACATAACAATAATAGACATTTTAATTGGTTGAATGTATAAAACTATCTTACATTGACAATGCACTACCTTTAAACCCAATTTTAAAAGGTGGAAGCTTCTTAGATGAATAATTCCCCCTTCAATCACTTGGGAAACTGAAAACAAGTTTCTTTCTTTAAAATGGACGGGGACAACGCACTACCTTTAAACCCAATTTTAAAAGGTGGAAGCTTCTTAGATGAATAATTCCCCCTTCAATCACTTGGGAAACTGAAAACAAGTTTCTTTCTTTAAAATGGACGGGGACGCAAAAGATTTCAAATGACAGATTCTCCTAACCCGCGCACCTTTCTATATGAAGTATACATTGTTTACAAATTACATGATATTTTCAACATAACCATAAAATTGACTATGCAACAAATGAAACTTTAAGTACTATATACAGAATCTTTTGCATGATTAATATTTACCATACAATCTTATTCTTTCTCAACTCTCAGGTGCCGTGAGGCGGAACTGTTTGAGAATGTGTCAATTTATCTTCCAGGTAACTTCAAACTCATGCTATACATTAGATTTCATAACTGGTGCAGGAAGCCAAAGTTCTGCACGAGTACCCCCAGCTCCAAGCGGGCCATCTTTGGTCCGAGGTGATATAATGCGCACGACACAGCCATAACTCTCCAGTATCTCACGGGCAATAGTCAGCCCAGCAACAAAGTTCCATGTCATATTGTCTTCAACCATACCTTCGGCCAAGAGTTCTTGTCCGTAGGGTGTGAGTGAATGCATCTGCGTCTGCAGACAAGCTCATAAGCAACCATTATTTTCCATTTTCACAAACCCCTTGCAATAAAGTAGTCAATCAAAAAATTGTTTGAATAGAAGCTAGGATTAGGTGAAGGATTTCCCAAGAGCTGCAAGTTTTCTCACATTAATACACCCTAATATGTTCCTAATTTCCCCACGGGTCGATAGTATGTTTTTAATCTGTTTTACAAATTGCATGCATAGTTTGTTAAAAAGGACAGTGCATATGGAAAGGAGATACGGAGAGTGAACTGAAGTTACCATATAGTGCATATCAGGTCCATCATCATCAATACATACGAGGGTATCGCCAGCCGGTGTAGCATTAGACACAATTGCAACCTTTCCTCCAACATGTGTACGCAGTAAAGCACCTTCAATAAGGTTGCTGAAAGCCTGGCGCAATTCAGGCTCTGCTACAGCAGCTAGCAAAGGTGATGAAAGCTGACTTAGTTCTATTACACGTTTTTGATTTAGAGCAAGAGGTCTGATTGTATCAACCATGTCTACCAATACTTCAGAAACATTGCACGGTCTTCCTGACATCAACAAAATAACATAAGAAATACTGAAATCATCTGAATGTCGAAAGAAAAGAGAAAATCATATCTAAAACTAAATGCCAAAAAGAAGATACCCAAAAGGCAATGAAAGAAAGAAGCATTTTTGCTAATCAACCAATCAAACCTACCTGATTCCATGCTGTAATGGAGAGAGAGCTAAAGGTGGTAAGGGCATCTCAATATCCTTGGCAGTGGCACTAAGAGAAGGTGGTTCACCAGATTTATTCATTTTATTTGCAGAGCTGTCCACCGGAGAACTACCTAACAATTGAGTTTTTTCTGACTCAGCAAGTATGTGATTCATTTTCTTAATTGCTTCTTCGTTGTGGCGCATAATATTTGCCTGCATATTCGACAAAAATTGTAGATGAGATGCACTATAGCCATGTGCCTGCATTATTTTATTATTTCTAAAATGCTAAACAAAATCTCCCTCAACAGAAAACTGATCAGCAGAAACTTTATTTCACCAAATATTTTTCGTAAAACGTTTAAATTGAAGAGAAAATCTCTTCGATGGATATTAAAATGCCAAAGCTAAGAAATTGCAATGAAGGTGGATACTGATAGGCATATACAAAAGGTATCTAACTATTTACCATTTTGATAATCAACACCAATATGTAACACATCATTATAATTTTCTATAATTATAATGGGGTAAAATAAGCTAGTGATATGAGAAGAGATTATAAAAAAAGTGGATTAAAAAATTGCAGATTTTTATATTCACACAAGGGAGGCTTATTTTTATATTCACACAAGGGAGGCTTCTAAAGTAGTACACAAAAATCTAACAGTGATGATAAAAGCATTTTCCCTATAATGAAATGACCTCCACTGCTGCATCTTCCTCTTGGAGTGACACAAAGAGCCAGACCGCGAGCAGTCATATAGTCTGATGTAATTCAGCACAGAAAACCACTACTTACTGAATATAAGGACTGGCGTTATCATGATTGTTGATATTTGTAAATATATATGGTGTTAAGAATATTTGTTATCATGATTGTTGATATTTGTAAATATATATGGTGTTAAGAATATTTGTATATAGAATAATCCCTCATCGATTATATCATGTAATTAGTTGTAATCTATCTATATATAATAATGTCTCCGTAGTGCTTTTCAAAACACACGGTTTAATCTAAACCTCTACAGGAGAGTATTCATGCACCTCTTCCGAAAGTCCCATATGTCATTATTCCCCATCATTCTAGGGAACCTGACCCACTAGACATCTCTACAGTTGACCCCCCACTCCTCGCCTACTTCAAACATATCAGCGTCGTCACTCAACGTCTGTCGTACCTGTCCCTGAGGTCGGACTCTCCTCTGACGCTCTCGCCATCATTGGATCCGATCCTGCAACCTAAGTTTGATCTTCCGATTGTCCTTCGAAAAGGTATTCGTCAAACAGGAAATCATTCTCCATATTATATTGATTTATGTTATCATCGTCTTCCCCCTTTGCAGTATACTTGTTTGTCTTCTTTGTCTTCTGTTTCTATTCCTAAAACTCCACGTGAAGCATTATCTCACCCTGAGTGGAGGCAAGCAATGATTGATGAAATGTGTGCTCTTCAAAGCAGTGATACCTGAGAACTGGTTACTCTACCCCATGGGAAATCTTTAGTAGGTTGTCGTAGGCTTTATACAGTGAAGGTTGGTCCAAATGGTAAGATTGACCGATTTAAAGCTCGCTTGGTAGCCAAAGGATACACTACGATGTTTTGGTTGGATTATAGTGATACAAGATGGCATCTGTTACACTTCTTCTAGCCATTACATCCATTCGACATTGGCCTCTTCATCAACTTGACATCAAAAATGCATTCTTACATGGTGATCTTGAAGAGCAAGTATATATGGAGCAACCACCTGGGCTTGTTGTTCAGGGGGGGGCCATCGAGTATGGTTTGTAGGCTACACAGGTCTCTTTATGGTCTTAAACAATCTTCGAGAGCTTGGTTTGACAGATTTAGCACTGTAGTACAACAATTTGGTATGGTCCGTAGTGAAGCTGACCATTATGTTTTTTATCGTCACTCACCCCAAGGGTGTATTTATCTTATTGTGTATGTAGATGACATTGTCATAACTGGTAGTGATCAACAGAGAATACTCCAGTTGAAACAACATTTCTCGAAACAATTTCAGACAAAAAATCTTGGTAAACTCCGGTATTTCTTTGGTATTGAAGTAGCCCAATTTAAAGATGGTTTGGTGATTTCTCAGCGGAAATATGCTATGGATATTTTGGAAGAAAGAGGTTTGTTAAATGCTTAACCAGTTGATACTCCTATGGATCCAAGTGTCAAACTACTACCCAATTAGGGGGAGCCTCTATCTGACTCAGGAAGGTATAGGAGATTGGTTGGAAAGTTAAATTATCTCCCAATCACTCGTCCGGACATTTCTTTTGCACTCAGTGTGGTAAGTCAATTCTTAAATTCCCCTTGTCAGGAACACATGGATGTTGTTATCCGGATTCTAAGATATATCAAATGTGCTCCAGGAATAGGTCTTGTGTATGAGGATAAAGGACATACCATTGACAGATGATGTTGATTGGGCACAGTCACCCATTAACAGACGATCCACCTCTGGATATTGTGTACTTGTTGGAGGAAACCTTATATCCTGAAAAAGTAAGAAACAAAATGTAGTTGCAAGATCAAGCGCTGAGGCAGAGTATAGGGTCATGGCAATGACAACATGTGAACTTATTTGGTTAAAACAGTTGCTCAAGGAACTTCAAATTGAAGAAGCAAGACCAATGACACTTATTTGTGATAATCAAGATGCATTGCACATTGCTTCAAATCGAGTCTTCCATGTGAGGACCAAACATATTGAGATAGACTGTCACTTTGTCAGAGAGAAGATCAAGTCAGGCGACATCGTCACAAGTTTTGTCAACTCTAATGATCAATTGGGAGATGTGTTTACAAAATCTCAACGAAGCCCCATAACTAACTATATCATGTAACAAGCTTGATGCATTTGACTTATATGCTAGAGTTTGAGGGGAAATGTTAATATTTGTAAATATATATAGTGTTAAGAATATTTGTATATAAAATCGTCTCACATCGACTATATCATGTAATTAGTTGTAATCTATCTATATATAATAATGTCTCCGTAGTGCTTTTCAAAACACAAGATTTAATCTAAATGTCTCTTAATCTCGCTTATTTCAACAATGATTATTTCACCATGCTTAAAAAAATTAATTGTAAATCAATCAGCCTAAAGATTATGTTTACATGTCAATCATTTGGGTCCTCTGCTGAGGAAAATCCATTCAACGAAATTAACATGATAAAAGCACATAATGTCAAGTACATAGAGGAAGAGATAGTAAAATGAAGATATAAAATCTCCTAAAGCACATTAATTTATCATTGGTATTAGTATATAGAACTATGCACACACCGCACGTATGTGTCATAATAAGTGCTAGAGAGAGGACCTTCGTCACGTATACAGCATCCTGAAGTTGATGGAGAACATCCCTTAAACGATCACCTAGCACCAAGATATCCTCAACAATGTCATGTGAAATCTGCAAAAGTATCTACTTTAATATGTTGTTGATATCCAATAACATAAGATATAACTAACTTCATCAACTCGTTGGTTGGTCTGGCTTATTAACCACTTGTTATAGAACTGGCATATAGTAAAGTTTAGTCAGGTTTAAAAGAGAGACTTCGCGGCAGATACAGAAAAGAAATTGTTTTCATTGCTATAATAAAACTAATCTACTTAGAGAATTTAAATACCTGGCTTTTCTTTGTTTGTGTAGACAGGATTTTACTCAAGGATTGAATGCTTGAAAGTGGACCATGGATCTGGTTTTGATTTGAAGAAAGAAAATTAGAACAGGATAAAGCCAGGAATAAAGAAACTAGAGAAATGCTATAACTCGTACTTGCTCAACCAAATTACTCATCCTGACATTATTTTGCCATGTTGATTGCTGAAGTAACATTGCTTTCTGCAAAAGGTGTACAGAAACCCAAAAGCCGAAAAAATTAGGTCCATACCAAGTATCAAAAACTATCGTTATAACTGTCATGAAATCATATAACAAACAGTTAAAGAACAATCAATTTAGCGTAATTGTGTTGCATGCTTACATAAAACACAACTTAAAGAAGTGATAGATTAAATGATTCAAAACTTGAATGAAATAACTTTAAAAGAACGGTTCAAAAAGGAAATGTTAAGAAATACGAATTTGAAAGCAACTTCCACAAAATATAAGAACTGTAACAAGCATATGTTCCTAGCATTTCATATTCAAAGAGTGATGAGCTCCTGTCATTATCATCTAAAAAAAGCCAGATGAAGATATAAACCTGATCCATAACATATGCCATAGCCAGAGACTGTGAAATATCAACAGCATTTGATCTTTGATCGGAAGTGAAGTTGCGCATAGAAACCGGCTCATCCTTGAACCGAGGGGCCTGAGTTTCCCATGACTTTTTGTCCAAATCCAAAAAAGGAGAAAGTGAATAAACTTCCTTCCTAGATACACGGTTATTTGACCTATCACTCTGAGCCTTCTTCTCGCAAGTTTCGAGCTCCACAACTGGAAGCTCAGCAACCAAGAAACCAACAACAAATGGGTGTTTAACCATGGGAAGAACTATAGCCTTACATTCAGGGACAATCTTAACCTACAATTAACATTCACACTAATATTGAGATCGATCCTAACGGACATTTGAAAGAGTAAACCCTCAATTTAAGACCTAAAGTATCCGACTTTATCCTACTCAGTTCTTAAAGAATATGAAAATAATTAGTCTTTAGCGATTTACATGTAGTCCCTAAACTATATGAAAAATTATTTTCACCAACACTGTTGATGTTATAAGTTGACAAGATGCTAAAGACTAGCATGACATGTTTTCATATTGCTCCATTCCTAAATTTTAGTAGTTTATTATTTTGGTTGTGTTTTAGAAACCCAAAATATAATATGATATTTTTCTTCCAACTATACCCCAAGATATTGGGATTAGATTAATGGTTAGAACAAAGTTATTTTGGTACAACAATAGTCACGGATTAAATATTTTCTGAATCTATATTCATATAAGTTAAACTACTAAAATTTAGGAATGGAGGGAATACTTGGACTACTTATTTTCATATACTTTAGCAACTAAACAGGATAGAAACCGATACTTGAAAGACTAATCGACAGCTTACTCATAATACTATGGGAACTGAGACACCACAATATAACAGAAACAAAATCAGAATCAGAAACACACTTGCAATTCAGAAAGAGCTGTCTCCGCTGCTCGCAAGCCGGCCTGAGCATGAAAATGACCAACGAGAATGACAATGCCTTCTTCCTCTGACTCAGCATCTTCTCCAGGGTACAGTGCAACCCTCCGCAGCTCCAACTGATCCATCACATAACTACCCGCCGGTCTAACATACACCTGTAAACACAACACAACGTTTGTCAATCACGTTGCTCAATTCAGATTTGAATGTGATTTTTAACCTAAAATATTGGATAATATGAGGTACAAAGTACGAACTGTGAGGAAGGATTCAGGGACGATTCTACGAAAGAGATGAAGTTGTTGGAGGCAGAGTCTGTGAAAGTCAGGGCTAGGATGAACGGGTCCGTTTTTGCGATTTTTCTCGAGTCGCTGAGTGAAATCGACGGGTGAGATGGAGACTTTACGAATGGCGGAGGCGAGGGCACGGGAGGAAGAGAGAGTGAGCGTGGCGGAATTGTTACGGGAATCATCGTCGGAACCGGAATCGGAGTTAGGGTTTGCGTTCAGGGTTTGGAGAAAACAAGAGGGGTTACGAGATGGGTGGGATTTGAAGGTGAGTGGAAGAGTGGAAGTGTTGATTGAAGAGAGTATAGGCATTTGACAACAACATTCATACAACAAACTAACTGAATTGATTTGGTTAGTTAGTTGGACTTAGAGAGAAGCAAATGAAATCAATATTTATATTGGTGGTTGCGGAGAAAAATAACCATACAAATAATGTCAAACTTTATCTTATCCATCTAATTTAATGTAATGTATTTAAATTGTTGAACTTATGCAACTACTTTTCCAATCGTTGAGAGCATAGGTATAGGTAATACTCATATATGCATACTTTATTGGTAATGTTAACTTGTGCCCTTGGGGCACATGTTAAGAAAACCAATTATAGTAAATTTGTATTGGAAAACACGATGTAAAAATTAATTTTATACTTTAATTAAAGTTTATACACAATTTCCAAGATAATATTTCTTAATTTAGTTCTTAACATGTGTCCCAAGGGCACAAGTTAACATTACCCTATAAATAAATGTTAGACAAAATTATTTGGATTTAGATTGTTATCTTAATTTTTTTTTCTGTGTCGGATACTCGGATTAATTCTTTAATTTTAAAAATGTGCAACGAATTTAGCAATTGTATTTTAAATTTTTTTATTATTAATTAGACAAAAATAAGTAATATAACATGTTTTAAAAGTTAAGAGAACAATCTAATATAAAAAAATTATGGGATCAATCTAAATCTAAAAATATAGTTAAAGATTAGCTAAATATTATTATAAGATTAACCTAATTCATACGAAAAAATTATAAATATGAATATTTTTAAGTAAAATATTTTGTTTCATAAGACGTCACACTGGATATATAAATATGTTTTTGAAAATTATTATTATTTCATTTAAAAAGATTGTTGACATATTCTAACACGTTTGCACTTGCACGTTGATAAAACTTCTCTTTAAATTTGCAAAATCTGAGTTTCAATATGTCTTGAAAAATCAGTTTTAGTTATACTGTGACACTTATGGTTAAAACTTAAAAGTACATTAATGATAATTTTATGATCTCTAAATTCATGAATTCTCACTTGTGAATTATATATATATATATATATATATATATATATATATATATATATATATATATATATATATATATATATATATATATATATATATATATATATATATATATATATATATATATATATATATATATATATCCTTGCGTTATTTTTCTTTATATAGCAATTCAGACCAATTTTACACAAAGGTTCATCAAATTCACTTTAATGTGATTGTTCATATTCATATGACCTTTTAATAATGATTATAAATCAAGCTTGATTCCTTAAATCTCAGTCATAATATCCTTAATCACTGTAATTCTCTGTCATATATCAATCATATATTCTCATACGCTAGACTTAGATCGTCATAACCCAACCTTATTATTTTGGATTTTAGAGTTGGGATCCCATTTACCATCATGAAATTCGAGATCATACAGATTGTATATGTTTTCCCTTCCTTACTACATCTGAAAAACAGGACATATATTTGAGGTTTCAAGATCCTATGTTGGGGTCTCAACATTACTTCTACAGTAAACACATATTTTTTTCTTTCAACGAGACCAAAGGGGTTAACAAGAGCGAATGAATCTTTGTGAGTGTCTTCCCTGGGCGATCACTTCTCTTCCTTACACATCTAATGAAAAAAACTAGAAGGAAAGTTTGTCCGGGTTAAGGGCAATGCCTAGTCGCCTAAGGTCATGTACGAAAAATATGATACTCATTAGTTCCCTCGATATTAAACAAATGAGCCCCTCTCTATCATGGGATATGAACCGACCTAAGTTAGCGAGAGAGAGAGAGAGAGAGAGAGAGAGAGAGAGAGAGAGAGAGAGAGAGAGAGAGAGAGAGAGAGAGAGAGAGAGAGGATATATTAAAGCATTTTGACATTATGGGGGTGCGAGACTTGCTTAGGCTTGAGGGAGATCTCCCAACATTGATGAGTTTTATGCGTAAGATGATATTTTGATACTCTGCCCTTGTACATTTTTTTCTAAATAATTCTCAAATGTCTTTTCTATTTCCTCTTTTGCAGAGAGGATGATCTCCATATCCTTACAAGAAAAGAAAAGATGATGGTGAAGGCTAAAGATTGTCAGAGCGAGGTGGAACCGTTTTAACAGAGTGATCCATCTGAATTATAGGCTCAGGTGGTCAAGAAAAGAAAATCAATCACTGGCAGAATAATCATTAAAAGTCATTCTCATGTTTGTCGTCTTGCTATCTCCTCCTCTTAAGGGTATAAGGTCACCCCTAATGAAGCGGAATGGGAAGGATCCTAGAAAAAGTCCATTTGATGTGGACTTAGTCACCTCCATAAACTTGGAGATAAGTAATTTTATGGAAGGTTGTGGAACTAGCTCTTCAAAACGTGGATCTTCTTCCACTTCTGGAGAACAAGGGTTATGCTTATAGGATGGAAGATTCAATAGGATGGTGTTCACATATGATCACCTCAATGTCAATGGGGATGTGGAGACGATAAAATTGTTGGGTTCTTAGAAAAGTTTCCAGTTTCTCAACACTTATTTGATGAGGATCTTGGTTTAGGCCTTGTTCAAAGATTTTGATGCTTTGTCTAAAAAGGAGGATAACTTAAGGCCGAAATCAAAAAGGTGTAAGGGGTTATGAGCTCAGTCAGACCACATTGACTTTGGCCAATGAAAGGATAACTACTCTCCAGAGAGGGGTTATTTAGGGTCAATACCACCTCTAAAAGGTTGGACATGAAAAAGATAAATTGCTGGAGGAGAAAAAAAAAACTTGAGACGAACTTTCAGAACTAAAGTAATAAACTTGCCATAGTAGAGGCATAGTTGAGCAGTCTCAATGTGGATCTTGAGGAGGTTGTATCGATTGCCTTCTTTCTGAGGACCAATGGCTCGAGAAGGCGAATGAGCAAATATGTTGCATGTACCCAAAGCTCGGCCCTAGTGAGCTAGATTACTTTAAGGTGGTGGTGGATGGTCGCTTGGTGAAGAAACTGACCATATGAGTAACCACAATTTGGACGAAGAGATAGAGACAACGCTCTCTCGTAAAAAGGCAATTCCTACTAACAAAGTTGCTAGAGAGGCCGCAATTATCCCACCAGAGATCTCACTCTAAAATGTTTCCTCCACCTAGGATACCATTTTCGATTTTTATTCCTATTGCAATTCATTTGAGTAATCTCGCCCCCACTATTGAGGGGCCATTGTAATTTACCAACTCTTTAATTAATGAATTTTAGTTATGTTCCCCTTTTCTTTTTATGCTTATGTCAAAGTGGATTCTGAATTTTACTTGTATATTTTTACCATTTAAATCCTCTTATTGTCACATGCCTTGTAGGGTCTCACACATAGACTAAAGAGTCCATGCATGGTTCTTATGTATACCATGTAGGGTTCCAGCATCTCAACATGGTGCATGTGGATATCTCATAGGGCTTTAGAGTACTTGTAGGGTTCTGATGGATACTCCGTAGGGATTCAAAGTCCAACTAGGGTTCTTATGGACACACTATAGGGCTTTATAGTCCCCATAGGTTTTTGGCAGTATTGTTCGAGGATAGTGTAAATTAAGCATCGAGCTATCTACCTATTGTACAATGCATAGTAAATTAAAACACTTAGGCCGCCTCATTAAAATCTTTTTCCTTTGTATAGGAAAAGAATTCCACCCTAAGCATAATTGCTTTATTTTATACAAAAATAAAAATCATATAATGTCTGGACTTTGAGGTTCTGTTCAACTATAATAGTATCTTAAATTCACATTATTACAGGTCCTCGAAACTTTTTCTCCTTCCAAACTTTCTAGCTTATATTCACCTTGAGATGGTTTATTTCATACTCAAAATGCCCCTTCCATGTTTCAGTGTAGATTTACTAACTTGGTTGGTGCTACTACATGTTTCAATATTATGTTGCCTTCTTCCATTCTCCTAGGTTTCACCCTAGAATTGTACCATCTCTCATATCTTTGTTTTACCTTGGAATATGTTTAATAACTTTTCCTCGAACAAGTTCCATTTTGTCATCTTCGATGTTGGTTTATCTACACACCACTCTTTTGCTTTTCCAATAAGAGAGTGTGGAAAAATCTTAGAAATATCATTTTTTTCCTTATCTTCTAGAGCTCCTAGCGTACCAACAATTTCATAGAATTTTTTGTAAGGTTTGTTCACGGGTCTCCATGATCTAAACCTATAAAAGGGTTAACATACATAATTTTTAATAAGTTTGTTTTCATTTTACTTTGTCAGACGTTTCTTTGCATTCTACCTAGGTGAGCTAGATGTTTAGGACTATTGTGGAATAACGTGTCACAATTGTTATTTATATTGTTGTTATTTGTATTGGCGATAACTTCAACCATGGTTTTTTGTTTTAAACATAAGACTCTTCTAGATCTAGCCTCTTGGATTTTTTTTTTTCAATCCTTAATGATGTTTATGTGTGCGGTTCTTTAGATTTCAGAATCGAATAAAAATTGTTTTGCAGAAACCTTACCGTACATAAACTAGTTAAAACAAACTAATTTTAAGTGTTAATGGGTTAGTGTCTATAAACAATATATAAAACTATAACAGATATACACATATATAAACATGACGTAAAATAATAATTAAAACTATGTCATATCTTTAAAACTTAGCACCAGTCCCATACAACGTCGCCATTTTATTGCGTTTGCAACAAAAGTAAGTTTTATAATTATCGTGTCCACTGAGACTGGCGATTTCAAATACTGTTGAACATATATTATGATTTTGAGTAGATAAGGGTTTTAGTTATTTTGATGCATGAAATTAAATGATAGAAAATAAATGACATAAAGTAAAATGGATATTTCAGTGTTAATAGTAAGAAAACTTGTTATGTGTATATTTCATCATTGTGTATTTATCATGCATAACGAAGGTCGGTATTATGCTCCTCTAGCCGATATCTCCTATCGGCCTTGACACCATGAGATCAGTGCATTACCTAATAATTGATATCTTGGTCTATTAACCAACACAAATC